AATAATCTTGGGTCAGAAGGTGGAAAAGCATTAGCGAATGCACTTTGCAAGAATAATACACTGACTTATTTGGATCTTAGGCATAATAATCTTGAACCAGAAGTAGGAAAAGCATTAGCAGAGGCAATTTGCAAGAATACTATGCTAACTTCATTGAACCTTAATCAAAATAATCTTCGATTAGAAGGAGGAAAAGCATTAGCAAATGCACTTTGCAATAATACCACGTTGAAAGATTTGAACCTTAATCAAAATTATCTTGGATTGGAAGGAGGAAAAGCATTAGCAGATGCACTTTGCAAAAACATCACGTTGACTTCTTTGAATCTTATTTATAATAATCTTGGACCAGAAGGAGGAAAAGCATTAGCAGATGCACTTTGCAAAAACAATACTCTGAAGGCGTTGTATATTTCTAATAACAATGTTGGGTTTATTATAAAATCTAATAATCTAAACATTTACATATATCAATAAATTGATATTGCGAATGCAAGAGTAATGTTTATAAGTAAATTATAAAATTTTCTTACAAATTGCAGTGTTTGCATTTGAACTATTCCCAATAAAAATTTTATGTGGACATGGACTAATCCAAATAGTGTCTATGTCCATATTTTATATATTGATCAATGTTCAAAATTTTTTTTTAAAAAAGTATCCTAGTGTAGTAACAGACAATTTACGGATTTTCGCAATATCATGCATGAAATAAAAGTGATCAATTTATAGTTTACTCATGTTTTCTTCGCCAAAATCTTACTAAATGTTGCAATGTTGACCATATTTTACGTTCAATGACTTTCTATTCGGGATAGTAAGTATTCGATTTTTATTTGAACTATGTATCTATGTCCAATAAAAAAATATGGACAATATGGACATAATCCGTAAATGTCCATGTCCATTAGTTCAAATTGTTCATGTCAAAATCTTAGCTTTTGCCATGGATTTCAATTCTGATATTAATTTGCACATCTTGCAATTTATCGTTCTTATAAGTTGTTAAAACACAAAAAATATTGCATATTAATTTATTTTTTATCTGTTGAATCAGGTTTTTCGTCATATTCTTCATCAAATATCGGATCTGACATCTCTTGTTCATACCACATATCTCTATAAAGACTACCATCTTTTTGAAGAAGGCCATCATGAGTACCATGTTCGACTATAACTAGAGATGGGCACAGTGTTGGAAATCTAAATCGATTTTAATGTTCTCAGGCAATTTTTTTTTATATGTTTATTAATAAAAAAATTGGAAAATTGATGTTCTCAGAGAACATTGAGAACATCAGATTTCCTACACTGGATAGGCACTATGCAGCATGTGCTTAATTGTTTCATGATTAAAATTATGAAAATCACTATCGAATGTTAATTTTTACAACATTATTCCTTCCATCTCTTGAGTCCATCAATTGAGCCCATCTTAAATTAAATTACAAAGGTGATCAGGATTTTCGGTTTTATTCGAAGTGTTTCAGTATACTATATTTTTATTTTTATGGTTGTTTAATTTTTCTACCCTTGTAAATACTTTTTCCATCCCTTCTAAATATATATAAAAATAAATAAACAAAAAATTAATGCTAAACGAAATTTTAACTTTAAATGGCCTAATTTGATGATTTACCATTAAATGTTATGATAATTTACTGCGATAATTTACTATAATAAATACAACTAACAACCTACAGTGCTAGACAAAGTTTTCTCGCACCTATATCTGCTTACAGAGAGGTGCTACAGCCTTGAAACTTTCCAAAAATTTAGTAAATAGTTAACCTAGATTATTTATTTTTTTTGTAATTTTTCAATCACTAGAAAAAAATTTAGATAAGAGCTAAAGTTTCAAATAATTTTTTTATAAAAAATTAAAAAATTAATTAAGTTCAATTAAAAATTAATAAAAAATCAGGATTA